CAGAGGATGTCAGATGTCGGGGATTTGAGAACGGAGAAAGTCGGCAGGGTGGGGAAGGAATGGAAAGGGGAGCACGAGGAGCTGGTGTGGAGGGCCATGCAAAACACACTGCCAGTGCGACAGGTACTGCATCGATGGAGACTTTCACGCCCAAGAGAAATATGTGATTACCCCGAGTCGGTGGCACATGCCTTGTGGGACTGTTTTTATGCACAAAAGGTGTGGGAGAAAGTAGCCATCTATTTGAAAGAGACAGGAAGGGGAACGGGGATCACTATCGAAAATGTACTCTATGGGTTAACAGAGGGGACGGATGGGTCATGGGGTCCTTATCACATGGACCAAAGTAGTGCTATGGACAGTGCGTTCCCTGTTGGCACTAAAGGGCTCGTGTTTTTCAACGTCAGCGTGTTTGCAATGCACGAGCTGCGCTTCTGTAGAGGCAGAGAAAAGCATGGGACAGAAAGAGGGGATACAGCGCTCTGGCAAGGGCTGGACTTCAGGGGGTTGTTTCAGCCCCGTATAGGTAGATAGACTAAGGGACAACTTTTGTTGTTAGAAAGAGTGGGTGAGGGCTTTGTCAGTATCTTTCTGTTAAGTATCGATGTGTGAACCTGTAGTTATGTAAGAAGAAGGGGTAAGATGTTCACTGAATAACACTGGAGTTTTAAGCAAAGTGAATGAGATGTTGTTTATCATGTGAGTATTACGTAATTTCTTGAAATTGTATTTGTATTTCCTTTGTGAGACCTCAGATGGGGTCCTTTTTAAAACTGTTTTGATATTGCCTGTTTTCTAATAAAATGCTACCAAAAAAAAAACCAAAAAAATTCTGCCCCCTGGCATGAAGCCTCCTTGTACATGGGATTTGGAAATGTGCTTGGAGCTAGGGTAAACAACACTGAATCCGCAGGACTCTTGGGAAGTAGCCGAGCTGGTGTCTGTACCAATGTTTGTCCGCATTACTGATTTATCGTAAGTAAACTGTACTGGCTTCATTGGTTTTCTCTCTTTTGTGAAGGGTAGAGGAGGCCCCAGTGATGTCTAGAAGTGATTATTTTCTTCAACTTCCCACTCTTGCTCAGGTTGCAATCTGCAGAGGTTCACACACCCTGTTAAATCCCAGCCACTTGCTTTTCAGCAAAAACTAAGGAACCTACACTTGAAGACTCTGTCCATATCAAGTTTAAGTTTTCTTCAGACTCTTCTCTCGCTAAGAAACCACATTTGCTTGCTTTTCAAAAGGGAGACAGGTTTTCCTTTTTTTTGCTGGCCAAAATGAAAAGACTGAAAGGCTTTCCCCCCTGCCAGCATTAAGACTTTGTTTAGTTATGGGCATCTTCAGTCCAGAAATGGCTTTCAGAGTTATGAATAATGTACAATGAAAACCTTTTTGAAACTGAGTCTAGTGAGCTATAATAAACTCGAGCAATGAGTTGAAAAGCAAAGGGATTGAATCCTAGTAACCTGCTTTTATTTTTCTTATACACAAGCCAGGTAATAAAAAAACACTTGCCGTATAAGTTAATATTTTATTTCACAGATGCACAGTACAGCTTCTAACTTTTTCTGGAACCAGACTGGTTTTGTGGAGTAAGATATATTTGCTGAATATCAGGGTTAAATTTTAATAGGGTATTAATATATAGCATTTTCCTATTAAACCTTAATACATGAAGCTAGTGAGTGGTGAAGACCAATGTATCATGGCATTTAGTCCTTTTAGCATAATTTAACATAATGCATCCCTTTAACCTTTCTTTAATGTTCACGTGTACCACTGCATTGATTGTTAAAAACAATTTGGAACAATTGTACTTTCCCAGTTGAGAGGAGTATGAGTGTTGGTGGAAGCCCTAAGAGCTGCCACTTTCTTCACTGAATCAGTCAGTTTGCACTTCGTGTAAATGAGTGGTGCAGAACAATAATATTCTAGGATAATTTGGCCTTTCGTGAACTGTACGTCTGTCATAGTATGCATACTCCAAATGCTTATTAGAAAATGTATAAAACTTTGTCTTCATGGTTTCTTCTTTATTTTGGAAATGAAAAGAAAACAAAACCGAAAACCCAAACTAACTTAGATTAGGCTTCTGTGATTTGATTTGTATGTTTTTGTTTCCTTCTAGGCAGAGAAATTTGGAGATTCCTTTGTGTTTGAGGGCATGCTGAGTGAACAAGTGAAAGCTGAAATCCAACAAGCAGTGAGTAATGGCCTTTTCCTGTCTCCCCTTCCAACTGGTGTAGAGCCTGCCTAGTGACCACAGACATGGAAGCTTTAATATTTGCAACAATAATATTAAGTTGTGCTGTGTGCCTTAATTCTTTTACAGGAACATTGGGATCAGCAAAGAGGATTTGGGTTTCAGTAAAGCAATGAGAAGAACAATAGGCTTTGTGGCTTAGTTGGTGCTGAGTCTTGGTGTCCATGCAATTATTCCAAAGGGAAGTGACCCTTCTCATGGGGGTTTTTTGGCTCCCCTCCCATCTGTTCCCAAAAAAGGCTGCTGTATACATTGTCCTGCCTTTCTTTTCTCTTTAAGGGAGAGCGATTTTAACAGCAGAATATTATTTTCTTCCCTTTTAAACATCTGCAGAGGGTACCACACAAGGGTGTGTGTGCATGCATGTGCATTAAGCTTTCTTTTAGCAGGCAGAAGAAAGGGCAGGCAACTTAATATTTTAACACCCCATCAGTTCACTTACATGAAAATGGCTCATCTTACCAAGTGCATATTGTGCTTTTAAGTAAAGATGCTGTCTTGCAGCAATTAACCCTGAACCAAGACCTATGGAAATGGCTGTACTGCCAGTGGCACCAGGATAAGAAAAATCCAAGAGTTAATACCTGTGAATGCTCAAGCCACAGCCTGAAAAATCTTTGGTAGGTGGGACTCCTGTAAGGCAGGGGCAGCCAACCTGTGAGATGTGGCAGATCAGGGAAGGGTGGGCAGCACAGTGGCAGCTGAGGCGGAGCAGAAAACAGAGCAGCAGATCAGGCAGGGGAAGGGGATCAGAAACGGGACTCAGAGGGCTGGAGGCTTAATTTGTGGCCAAATAGTTTGGCCTGTAATCCTGTAAACAAAGCACTGTTAGGGATGCATCTTCTAGTCTTTTGGTGTCATGGGATATTGAGAGATTATATTGAACCTAAAATAATAAAACAGAAGGAAGCACTTGGTATTCAGGTAATGGTATGTGCAGATGCTGAAGCTAAGGAAACGGGTTTGTATTGTAATTGCAACTATCTCTCTACTTGGAAATTTAGAAATGCAAAGAGAACACTTCCATGAGAAGTGAAATTCTTACTGTCCTCCTCTTGCTGAGCTGCAGAAATCTACAAAGCAGGGCGTCTTAAGAAAAATGCTCCAAAGTTTTTAAACTGTTTTGGTTTTTTTTGGTGTTCCTGTAGACCCCACCCCCACCTTAGCTACCTGCATGAACAACTGAGCCACTTCCTTTAGCTTGGTGTCCCAAACTGATGGGTGCTAGATGACAAGAACAGAAAAGGAGATGTGTTGAAGAGTTAGGCGGGACCTCAAATTAGTCCTTTCTGCTTCTTCCCCACGTAAATTTTCCATGTTTGCTTAAAGTAGCTCTTACAGGACTGTCCTCTGCTTTGTTTTTCAGTGTTTATTATTAGGATGTCATGTAAGTCACTGGCATGCTGAACATCCTCAGGGTAGGCATGGAAAAATATATTGTGCAGTATGTTGGCAAGCTTCCCAGGGGAGCAATAACTGGCCTTTCTTGTGGTTTAGCATTTTTAACCTGATGTTAACGCTGTTGTCAAAAGGATGAACTAAAGCACTGAAACGCGAAGTAGGAAAGCGGCTTTTTTTTCTCCTCTGCTAGCTGCATGCTTTGGAATAGGTGACTTACATTTGTATGGAAATCAGGAAATATTTATCCCAAGGTGAATGCTGTGGGCATGATAGTTTAGTGTGTCTTTTTTCTTTGGTGGTGTAACACGAGGACGGTCCACTGAACAGAGTCTAGTAATGACAGGTTGAGAGAGATCTTTTTACTCTGAGGCCCTAATACAAAAAAAGTGAAGGGTTGGAAAGGAGAAAGAGAGGGTAAACATGCAAATCCAGGATCACTCAGCAGGTTGGTGTTGAATTTTAAGAATAGGATCCAGGTCTCCTGCTTCCCCAACCAGCATAGTCTGCTAGACTGTCCTGCCTCTCAAAACGGCAGACCTTTCATGTGTTGTTGGAAATGGCATTAATATTACACTGGTCGTCATACTGTCACAAATCTAAAAGGTGGAACAAGCAACATTTTCTTACAGACTTTCTAAATGGAGTTTAAACTCGCTGAATATAGTTAAGTAGTAAGGCTATTCATCCAGTGTAAATGGAATCAGCCTGTCTAGGATATCATCTGAATGAGACTCTGGCCTTTCAAGTACATTTCCGTTAGTATTTCATTAGTGTTGTCCCTGTAGAAAGAACTTGTAAGAAATGCATTTACTACATAGATACATGCCTATAGTGGCTATTTCAGAGCATGTTCATTAGATGCTCTGAAAGAGCTGAGAGAGAGCAGCATCAAATGGACCAAAAATTCTCAGTTGCTTCAGGTGAGCCACCTCAAGTTTTGGAGAGCCTTGAGTCTGTCATTTCTTGGTGCAGTGGGGAAGCTAATGGAGGTTACAGGACCATGCTGGCTATTGAAGATCAGTCTCTTGCTGAAGAAGAGATGTGATGTGCTTGTGATGGGGAGCTGCTGTTTTCAATGGTCAGAGTGGGTAATGTGATTGGATCGTTACCTAGGGTTACTGTATTTCCAGTTCCAGCAAAGAGGACACCTGGTTGGCAGGGGGGCTGTATGATTGTAGGGAGAGCAGTGATATGCTGGTGCCCCACCCCTGCTGTTGCCCCTCACTCCCAAGCCACAGCATGCTCAGCCCTGCTGCTGCTAAACCTTGCTCCCAACAAATGGCCCCCTGGCACTGCCAGTGCTCTGCACTCCTGATCCGTAGCCTCCCCAGCCCAGCTGGTACCCCTCACTCCTGACCCGCAGCTCCTTTCTCTCCCCCCAGCCCTGCAGCATCTCCTGGCCACCCTGCCCCTGTGAGCAAAGGTACCGGCCCCGGTGCCACTGTCAAAGCCACACAATTTCCTGCTCCCACCACCCTGCCTGGCTGCATGCCAGCCATGTGCGTGTGGCCACTCACACATACATGGCTCCCCCACCTCCAGTCGTGTGGTGTGTCGTTCCCCCCCCCATTTCTGCTACCCTCAGCCTCAAGCAGCTCCTGGCTAGGGCAAACTTGGAAGTGCTGGGAAAAACATCGATGCTGAGCAAAGCAAAATTCTAGACATTCGTGTATATTTTTAAAAACTGCCTGGATGGACATCAGAGGACCCAAAAAAGAGGACATGTCTGGGAAACCCCAGACGTATAATAACCTAGGTTACCTTTGCTGCCAATTTGCTGTGCTCTGCCTCCAGTGCCAAAGTGAGCATCTCTTTTCAGCGTCTGCTGTTCACTGGGTTCTCAGAACTGACCCACTTGTTAACGCTACTTGGAGGTGCTATTGTATTGCCTGAAAACCCATTTATCTGAAAGGCTTTGAGTGGTCTGTAGGGAGGATTGGTGCAATAAGAAATGCAGTTAAGGTGTGTATTCTTCCCCTCGACTTGGCCTGAAGAGAAGGGTGAATGTGCAGCATTGGAAACTGGACTGCATATTCAGAACTGAGGTTGGGGGTATGGTACGCTTCTAAATGGCATGGAGCTAGCTGCAAACATGACTTGCTTTTTAAGGACAGACTCCAAAAGTTCACGGTCTTCAGGCAGTTACTGAAATAGCGGTGTGTTACATTTTTGTTTTTGGGCAGGAAGAAGGGGGAGAGGGCACTTATTTCCTGCCCAGTACTAATTTGTTGTTGCTGCTGTCTGGGCAAAGGAGAAAAGTAAGCATGGTGCCATTATTCCACTTCTGTGACATTTTAACAATACACACACCTGAACCAAAAAGGAAGCCAAGAAACATCCTTGCTAAATGGAAAGGTAGTGAGGAATACTTGTTGGTAAAGGTACTTGAAAGCTGTTTCAAATACCTGCAGAAGCTTTCCGTTGAATGTGCATCTACCCATGAACAAGGTAAACGGGAGAGCACCTCATCCGCCTCTCATCAGTACACTGTAAATCCAGGGGTTCCTAAATGTGTTCACTGGAGGGAAGTGGGAGTTTGTTGTTCTTGGCCTGAAGACGATAAACCCTGTAACAACTTAACTTGCTTGTTTTTGCTTTTGTACCGGAAGCCTGCTTGTAAATCAGTTTTGGAATGAAGGAGCTGAGTTGATTTGTCTGATTTATGTTCCTTTTAGCAGACGTTTTAATTTTTGGCCTGGGAATGTCAGTGGATTCAGATACACCCCTTGTTTGGAGGAAAATAGTTACTGGAGTGGAGTGGTTGGTGAATTAAGTCTTGGGCCATTAGACTTCCCTTCCCATTCATTACCCTCCTCTTCTCACTCTCTCTTCTCCCCCCCACCCCCATACAAATCAGTTTAATCACCTATATAATCATCATTGTAATTATTCTAGATTGTCAGGTTCTAGCAGACCCGTGGGGATGGCTCCTTGTGCTAAGGCCCTGGACAGACTGTGAAAAAA